AGAGTGACGTCATACTCGATACACTGTACAGATGCCAGCTAGCTCACATTTGTGTTTTTAGGTGAAGCGACGACGTTCGGAGGAGCGTAAACTTGATCAACAGGATTATACGAGAACATTATTTCATGCTCATACACTGTGGGTTTTGAAAATGATGATCTAAAGATTCCCATTGAAATTTCAAGACATGGTTTTCTAAAGTGGGAACATGCTTTAGCGGGCTTTTTATTGATAAAAGACTATCCTTCCAAAAGATTAAGTCAAGGCCCAAAAAATTGTAGAACGATAATCTTGATGATATAGTTACTCTAGACAATGGTTTTTTTTTTTTATTTTTAAGATTAAAAATGAGGATGCTTTGTTGATAGTAGAACTTTTTATTTTGGGATTATATTAATTGTTTTCAAGAGATGGCATTGCGGTATGCAATTGACTAAGAAATAATTTTCTAGTGTCCCAATTTGAGTGAAATTTTATAATATCTCCCTTGAGCTATGGGCCGAAGATGGTTTGAGTTATGTAGCTAGTGTTATTGGTACTACTTTATTTTGTACCTTGATGAATATACCCAATCACTTAGTGGACTTACTTTTACTAGAGGTTGTGTCGAGATTCATGCTAATAAGGAAATTTCAAAATCCTTCATGCATAATTTGGGATATGGTGATCCTTATGAGGTTAAGAGGTAAAGAATTATAAGGGCAAAGATAGTGTGCATGCTTTTCCTAAAGATGAGAAGAATGAGCCAAAAGTCACCTTATCCTCAAATTATTTCAACTGCCGTGTGGTTAATATCATGTAATATGTGACATGTATATTGTATGAAAAAAGATACGAAACACAGACACATATCGCTGGTGAGTTGAATCGCTATCATATGATTTCATATTGTACTGTGATTCAACGTATACCAAACAATCAATTCATCTTTATCTTCTCCATCACTTTTGACCCTGTTAACAACTTTTTTTTCTTTATCAATCCCATGACCGACACTCACTGAACAACCATGAACTATGTTCTCCGAAAATCCCTTACAAAAGAGACCCAATTCCAAATGAACTCGCAAGAAAAAATGACTCTCATATTGTAGCATTTGAGTTTAGAACCAAGATTTGAGCCAAAAAGGCTTGTTTTGACCATGTCAATAAACTGTATAACAAGTATGTTTGGGACTACTTATATCTAGAAAAATAGTCTCAAATCATGAACCAAATGGACCTAAAATCAAAGCAGCCAGGCCCGACTGGAAAAAAGAAAGAAAGAAACTTATGACTCATCTTTCATATTTGAAATGAAATGTCATTTATCTTTTATTATTAAATTTTCAAAATTTTCCTAATTTCTTATGAGTTGGATAGTTGGGTTTTAAATGGATGTATATTTAGCTCTTTAACCAATTTGTAAGTTTCTTAGAGAGAATTTTCAAGTTGTTAGTCATATGATTTAGTACTTTATTCTTACAATATATTTATATATTATATGAAAATACTTTTTTTTATTATCTATATCCATATATGATTATGTATCTTAAAATACACAATACTGAAAAGTGATACAATGATACACAATATGTATTACGATTGGCAACACTGATTTCGAGGAGCTTGCCTTGTCTTATTCCAAGGATGGGTGTGATTCCAAGAGTGAACAAAGTACTAAGAATGAAGCAAACTGTCCATCCAAACAACCCAATGAGGATGGTTCAAGGGGTCTTACCGACAAAAACGATAGGGTTGCTTTAAGTTGTGGCTGAGTTCTCTCCTCCAAAAGAAGACAATGTTTCTTCAAGTAAAGTTGAAGCAACAGGGATTATGGAGATCACATCTTCCCCTAGGGATGCTATACATAGGAAGCTTAAGGAAAAGATCAGCAACCTAAAATTAGCTAGAGTATAAGCTATCGCAATCTCCGTTTAACCAAGGAAATCAAATCATGCCTAAAGCCTTCTACCAAATCTTAAAGTTCTAGGAAAAGCAAGGAGATTAGGGCTAATTCAAATATTCACTTATAGGTTGTGAATGTGTATACCTTTTTGCTGGAAATTTGTGTTAATGCATATAATAAGATAGTGGCATATGATAGTGGTGTTGGTGGTAGATAGTGGTATGTATAGAATATGATAGTGGTGTTGGTGGTAGATAGTGGCATGTATATAATATGATAGTGGTGTTGGTGGTAGATAGTGGCATGTATATAATATGATAGTGGTGTTGGTGGTAGATAGTGGCATGTATATAATATGATAGTGGTGTTGGTGGTAGATAGTGGCATGTATATAATATGATAGTGGTGTTGGTGGTAGATAGTGGCATGTATATAATATGATAGTGGTGTTGGTGGTAGATAGTGGCATGTATATAATATGATAGTGGTGTGCTGGAAATTTGTGTTAATGTATATAATATGATAGTGGTGTTGGTGGTAGATAGTGGCATGTATATAATATGATAGTGGTGTTGGTGGCATGTATATAATATGATAGTGGTAGATTGTGGTAATATATAATATGTAAGTGGCATATAATGGGTTATGATGATGTTTGTAATATCTCCTATATAAGGAGTGTCATTTGGTCTTGTAAGATAAGAAGTTTTGAATATAACAGAAATATATTCCTTCTTCCTCATATTTTCGGAGTTCTTCTTCCTCATATTTTCTAAGTAAATCTGTAGAGATTTAAGATAAAGACAAAATGCAACTCCTCAAAATATTCTCTCATCGGGGAAAGAACAATTGGGGTAGAAAAGCCCCAGACTGGAATTTTATATTACTGATGGGTAATCACCTAACCATTATTTGAACGAGTGAACCATTTGGATATTGGGTTACTCCTAAAATATAGTGGTTTTCTACATAGAATGGATTTTATTTCATAAAATTATACACTTCTTGAGTACATTACAAGTGACACGGTTGGCCTTAAATTTCTATGGTTTTCAATTGTTACTTTTGTTTGTACTGTAATAATTTGTGCCCAACGTTTGTCATTCGCTAACACTCGTAAACTATTGATAATTTTCTCTTTAACTTTTCAGAAATTCCATAGATTCTGGAATTTGGTGATTTACATTGTAGACTCTTACCTTAAACATATAACACAGAACTAGTTAAATTCTTTTCCATGCTAATCAAATTAATGTTTAGCACCCACTAGCCTGTGTCATGTTTTAAAGCTTCTCTTAATCTGATTTTAACTTCCATTATTAATTTAAGAAAAGACATTTCATCATAGGTGTTCAAGCTGCTTATTGGGAAATGCTTGATGAGGGAAGGATCACGCAAACTATTGCAAATACCTTGATGCAATCTGTGGATGAAGCAATTGACTTGGTATCTCATGGGTCCTTGTGTGACTGGAAAGGTTTAAAAGCACAGGTGCATTTCCCAAATTATTACAAGTTTCTTCAAACAAGCATTTGTCCACCAAAACTGGTTACATATTTCACTGTGGAAAGGTTGGAATCTGCCTGTTGCATTTCTGCTGCATTTCTCCGGGCCCATAGAATCGCGCGACGGCAACTACATGACTTCATTTGTAAGAATTTTCTGTATGTTCTTGAATGTTTTAGGTTGCCATAACTTTGTCTTTTACAATGTCTTTCACTTTGTTGGAGTGCACAAATTCTATGAAGCTCAAAATGCTTCTTTTTAGTTTAGATAACAGAGAATGAAAAAGAGGATGCATACAATGTTTGTACCAAGAGGGGGGTGAATAGGCCAAACCCTAGGTATTACAAGCCAATTAAAAATTTAGATCAAGCAATAATAGGAACCAGTTCAACATAACAATTCAAAGTATTGTCAATAAATCCAAAGGCAACCACACAAATTGCAGTCATTATAAAACACACAAGCAATATATATGGAAAACTCTAGGAACAACCATCCCTCTGGGAAAAACCATGAGTAGCCCTCTAAGAGTGAACAATCCATTAGACCAAGTATTTCAAATACAAGATTTAGGAAAAGTGAGTTTTAACCCTAATTCGGATGCAATTTATCCTCGATGTCTAGAGCCACAAACTTCTTGTTTCATCTCCACTTGCAAGTGACTATAAACACAAAACTCCATTGAATTCTCCCCCCTCCCTCTCTCTCTAGATAGTGCGATCATGAATTCCCTCTCTTGATTCATTTCTCTATTTAATTTTCTCTCTCCCAATATAGCCACTGCCATTGAAGCACACGTTTTGAGCTTTGGTCTCTTTCACTCATTCTCTTCATTCTCTTTAACCTCTCTGTCCATGGTTGTGGGTGGCTTCTATACTCGGTTTTGGGTTTGCCATAGTTGTTTGGTCATAGTTTGGCAGCTCCATGCTAGGTCTTGCCATGATTGTAGGTTGAGCAGTGGTTGTAGGGGTGCCAACTTGCAAATATGATTTTTTTTTTTTTTTTAATAAATATAGTAGAAGATGAAGATTAAGATGACATGGATTTTTTGTTTTGTCTTTCTGTAAATATTACACAAGTATAATTGCCTTTTTGCATTAAATGTTTACTTTGGCTTGATTTTTTCTCATCCCAACTCTCAGATAGGCATGTTGCAATATCTATCAATTTGGACATAGTTCGTAACTATACATTACTCCCAAACCACATGAAGGTTATGACGATTTTAGAGAAGAGAAAAAGTTAGGAAATGAGTAAAACCTCATCCCCTTATATATTAAGAATAAAGCATAATTACAGGAGTGCCATAAGGTAGGAATTACGGGCCAGCTCATTACAGTCCATTACATCAAATCAGAATAAAATATGTGAATATGCTTTCCTATTCCAACACTCCCCCTCAAGCTGGTGCGAAGATATTTCTCATGCCCAGCTTGTTGAGAATGTTATGAAATGGTTTGCTCTTTATTCCTTTGGTGAGAACATCGGCTAGTTGGTCCCCAGTTCTCACAAATGGAGTACATATGGTGCCCACTACTGAGGTTTTCTTTGATGAAGTGCCTATCAATCTCCACATGCTTGGTTCTGTCATGATGAATTGGATTATGAGCCATGTTGAATTGGATTATGAGCTATGCTGATCGCCTTATTGTTGTAACTTAGAAAATATGAGGAGGAAGAAGAACTCCGAAAATATGAGGAAGAAGGAATATATTTCTGTTATATTCAAAACTTCTTATTTTACAAGACCAAATGACACTCCTTATATAGGAGATATTACAAACATCATTATAACCCATTATATGCCACTTACATATTATATATTACCACTATCTACCACTATCATATTATATACATGCCACTATCTACCACCAACACCACTATCATATTCTATACATGCCACTATCTACCACCAACACCACTATCATATTATATACATGCCACTATCTTATTATAACACAAATTTCCAGCAGTTGTCACAATACAACCTCATGGAATCGGTTTGGTGGATCCCCAAGTCTTTCAACAGTAGTCAAATCTATAGCAACTCACATACACCCTGAGCCATAGCCTTGAATTCGGCCTCAACACTAGATCTAGCAACCACATTCTGTTTTTTACTTCGCCATGTGACTAGGTTGCCTCCAACAAATGTGCAATATCCAGAAGTTGATTGTCTGTCAGTGACTAATCCAGCTCAATCCGCATCAGTAAACGCATCCACACCAAGATGTTCATATTTTGAGAAATAGAGATCCTTTTCCAGAAGAAGATTTCAAGTACCTCAGGATTCTCGTAACGACCTCTAAGTGGGAAGTTCTAGGAGTATGCATAAACTAGCTAACCATGCTCACTGCAATGGCAATATCGGGATGTGACTGGGATAAGTATATGAGTTTAATCACTAGTCTCTGATATCTCCCTCTGTCCACTGGCTCTTCCTCTTGATCCTCACTTAGTTTCTGGCTCGGTTCTAGAGGTGTATCACATGGTCTACCTCCAAGCATCCTAGTTTCCTTTTGCAAGTCAAGTACATACTTTCTCTGACATATGAAGATACCCTCCTTGGACCTAGCTACTTCAATGCCTAAGAAATACTTCAAAGTACCCAACTCTTTGATTTTAAACTTCTTGGCTAAGTATTCTTTCAACTGAGGGATCTCCTCAACGTCATCTCTTGTCAAAACAATGTCATCAACATAAACAATAAGAGATGTGGTTTTACCATGTGAGGAGTGTTTCACAAATAAGGTGTGATCAGCTTGACTTTGCTTGAACCCATATCTCAACATAGCTTGAGCAAAACTTTCAAACCAAGCCCTATGAGATTGTTTTAGCCTATAAAGTGACTTCTGGAGCCTGTATACTTTACATTTGGACTTGGCATCTACAAAATCAGGGGGAATATCCATATAGACCTCTTCTGCTAGGTCTCCATGAAGGAAGGCATTCTTTACATCAAACTGATGAAGTAGCCAATCCAAATTTGCTACAAGAGAGAGTAGTGTTCTCACAGAGTTCATTTTAAGCCACTGGTACAAATGTCTTCTAGTAATTTACCCTATAAGTCTGAGTGATGCCCTTAACAACCAGTCTTGCTTTGTATCGTTCTATGGAACCATCGGCTTTATGTTTTACAGTGTACACTCACTTACACCCAACTGGATTTTTTCATCTAGATAACTCTACTAACTCCCGAGTGTCATTCTTGCTGAGAGCTCTTATCTCCTCCATCATAGCATGTTTCTATTTAGGAATAGAGAGAGCATCTTGGAAATTGGTAGGTAGACTCATAGAAGAAATTTTAGACAGAAAGGCTTTATATGAGGAAGACAAATTAGAATAAGAGATATGATTAGTAATCGGCTGCTGAGTACATGACTTAACCCCCTTCCTATTAGCAATGGTAACATCAAGATCGGAAAACTCAGGAACAGGAGCATTAGGATCAGAATTACCTGGGTTTTTAGGAGAAGAGGACGGCTCTGGACAGCCATTTTTAGAAGAAGTTGGCAGTATAGGAGGGGAAGTAGTCTCTTGTATCCAGGTGACTTTCTGTCTATCCTTGTCCCTGACATAAACTTTATCTTTGCCTACTTCCTTTGTTGGTTCACCATCCACAAGCTGTTCAACCAGTAGCGATAGTGGAACAATCTCTTTCACATCAAGGCTCCCCCTAAAGGGATGATTGTGACACGGGAGAGGAGAGAAAGTAAGACTGAGACTCAATAAAGGTGATATTCATGGAGACAAACCATTTGCGAGTGGGAGGATGATAACACTTATACCCCTTTTGGGTGGCAGAATAACCTAGAAAAATACACTTAAGAGACCGAGGATCTAATTTACCATGAGTGGGTGAATGATTATGGACAAAGCAAACACAACCAAAGGTCTTAGGAGAAATGGAGAACTCGGAAGAGGTGGATTCGAACAAAACTTGAAGAGGGGCTTGTTTGTGAAGGACTTGGGTAGGAAGGCGATTAATCAAATAAGTGACAATGAAAATTGCTTCCCTCCAATAGGAATGAGGAACCCGCATCTCAAAGGAAAGACAACGGGCCATATCGAGGAGATGGCGATTTTTTTGTTCTGCAACACCATTTTGTTGAGGGGTATTAGTGCATGAAGTTTGGTGTATAATGCCATGAGTGGCGAAATAATTGGCAAGACCAGAGTCGATATATTCTCTCCCATTATCAGAACGTAGAATATGGACAATCGTCCCAAATTGAGTACAAACCATTTTATGGAAGTTTTGAAACACAGAAAACACCTCACTCTTATTAGTGAATGAAACGGGATGGAACTGAACTTTTATTAGTAGACGGAGCAAAAAAGGCTCAGTATTGTTTTCCAAGTTGATATGACTCACATTGAAAATCAGACATATTATTTTTCTCAAAAACAAAAGGAAATAAATGCTTAAGTAATAAAAAAGAGGAATGTCCTAAGCAACGGTGTCATAGCCAAATGTCGTCCTTAGTAGATTGTGATTGGATAGATGAATGAGCCAGCTTGTCTGTCTGATCTAAAATGTAGAAACCATGTTCCTCTCTATCACTACCAATCCTCTTTCTCGTGATAAGGTCCTGAAAACAACAATGATCTGGAAAAAACGTCACACTATAATTTAAATCACGAGTAGTACGACTCAAAGATAAAAGGTTAACACTAAAATTGGGAACATGAAGTACAGAGGACAAAGGAAGGAAAGAGGTGACATGAATTAAACCTTTTCCTAATACAGACGAAATTGTACCATCAGCAATACGCACTTTTCCTGACTTGAGGAGGGGTTATACTCAGAGAATAAATTAGAGGAGCCAAACATATGATCGAAAGCGCCAGAATCAATAATCCATGGTACAGTTGTATGAGATAGCAATGCATATGGGGAGGCAGCTAAGTTACTTGAATTGACAAAGGAAGAAGAAGGTGTACCTGTAGCAGAAGTGGAGGCTCGACGATCTAGCAAGTGGCAAAGAGCAATCTCAAAATTCGAGACAAATAACCCCAAAACATCAGCAGCAGGGGAGACAATTGGAGAGGAAGATGGTGGCTCAACAGTGTTTGAAAGATGTGCCTGAGCATTGGCCCTGCGGCGTCTAGACTGACCAAACCTGCCCCCTCAAGTACCAGGACGGTCTCCTCGACCACCAGAGGGAGTCCCATGCAGCTTCCAACAAGTCTCTCGTGTGTGCCAAGGTCTACGACAGTAATCACAGAAAATATTATCCTTCTCGAAGGAAGGACAAGAACCACGGATATTGCTAGGGGGTGCAGAAACCAAGGCTGAACGATCAATAGTAGCAGAAGGAAGCATCGCATAGCGGCGACTCTCCTCATTCTGCACAAAAGCAAAGGCTTCCTAGAGAGAAGGAAGCACATCCATGCCAAGTACTCTACACCGAAATGGATCATACTCCACATTTAGGCCTTCCAAGAACTTGAAGACCTGCTCTTGCGCCACAAACTTCTGGTAACCAGCAGAATCAGTGGGATAGATGGACTTGAAATCCTGAAGGTGATCAAGCCGCTTTCACGCATTGCTAAGGAAGGTAAAATACTGGAAGATAGTCATCTCACCTTGTACCGACCTTTCAATAGAGCAACGTAACTCAAAACCCTATGAGAAGTTTCTTTTCCTGAAGTACGATGTAGCTACAGCCTTCAAATAACTTGGGCAGTGTCCATAGACAAGTAGCCCTCTCCAATCTCAGGTACCATAAAATGTATCAACCAACCCATGATTGGAGAGTTGGTGATCTTCGACTGGTCATAACTAGGATCCGTGGTATTGGGTGCCTGCATCCTTCCATCAACATACCCTGTCTTCCCTCTACTCTACAAAAAAATAGTCAGACTTTGCGACCAGGTTAGATAATTCTAACCATTGAATAGAGAGGTGCTGATCTTAAGGCCAGGGTTGAGGTTATTAGTCATAGTAGGAGGTATAATGGAACTCTCGCTCTTAGGTGGCTGAGAAGTAGTAGACTCACTAAGGGAATCTGCCATGGATACTCTACTGTGGGGGCATATTTTTTGAATGACAACACGTGGCCGAGGTGGCACTGAAGTACCAGCCGAGGTGCCATGTATCCTGGTCATGAAGCCGAGGTAATTTCGGCAAGGCCGAGGTTATCTGCGAAGATACCAGAATCCGGGATAAGCGGATAAGGGACAAAAGTCCTAGAATGGGAGAAGACTTCAGTTTGGGTAAAGATAAGACTCTTAGAGAGTTTATCCCAATCCTACTAGGAGTCCAAGATTAGCAGTAATCCTAAGTCCATTGAAGCTAGGCTTTTATTTGGACTAGGTTTGTGTTGGCTATAAAAGAGAGGCACCATTATGGGTCTAAGGTATGTCTTTTATGCTTTGTCTAGTGAGTTAAGCACTATTGGTTGTCTTTGAGAGATATTTTACTGACTTGATCGTCGGAGTACTCCCGGGTGGACAAACCACCGCGGGATTCTTATCTTTCTGTGATAGGTTGTTCGGGCTTAATCTATTCTGCCGGTGTTCTACAGCTGAGTACTAGTTTGGCAGTGTGGTCGGAAATTGACACACACATCTACTTTGTAACTCTCAAACACAATGACAATCACACACCCGAAAGATAATAGTAGAAGGAAAAACACAATTACCACGATGAAAGTATAAAGAATTAAGAACTCGTGTATTTATTTATTTATTTTTTTGCGGTTTGTGTGTTTTAGGTTGAAAACATTATAGGATAGAGACAAAGACTTGCCGACAGAAATCTAGATGTTGGGGATCAAGCCGACAGAGGCCTAGAGGGCCAAAGAGGCTGTCGTGAAGGTGGAGAGCCCTGGAGGCTTGCCGACAGGAGTCTCGGATACCACACAACAAGCCGACACAGGCCCACAGGCATAGAGGGGCTCCCGACAGACCCCTAGAAGGCCTGAGAGGCTACCGATTCACCCTAGTAGGGTGTTAGGTAGCCTCGGAGGACTGTCAAAGCCTGGGCAAAGACTTTTGGGAGGCCTGGTCTGGGCTGGGTTGACGGTCGGGGTGCGGGGGTGAAGAGGGGAAGCTATTGGAGAAGAGAAGAGAGGCTCTAGGCTGGGTATTGCTATTGTGTATGGGTGGAATAGGGTAGCTAGGGTCTGAGTTGCTCTGATACCATGTAGATTTTAGAGAAGAGAAAAAGTTAGGGAATGAGTGAAACCTCATCTCCTTTTATATTAAGAATAAAGCATAATTACAGAAGTGTTAAGAATTATAAGCCAGCTCATTACAGCCCATTACATCAAATCAGAATAAAATATGTGAATATACTTTCCTATTCTAATAGGTTATGTGGTCATTTTCAAACAACACATGGTAAAGTGTTTATAGGGCAATACACAAGGGGCAAAAACGGATTTTCCCTGCCACCCCATTATTGGAGACAATCCTTTAATTCTTACACGTGCTTTTTGTCAATTTAGGTGATAGTGACATTGCAACTAATGTCATCAAAGAAAGTGAAGCTGAAGGAGAGGAAGCAAGAAAATTCTTGGAAGAAGTTCGTGCTACATTTCCTCAGGTTTGTGTGTTTAAGCACCCTCATTGAATGTACTTGTAATCATCAATTATGCTGGATTCTTCTTAGAATTCATTATCCAGTCATAGGTCCAACTTTTGTATACGTGACAATGACTAATATAACTTAGCCTCTCTCGTAGATTTCTGCTTGGAGCATGTTCTAGTTGTAGTTTGGTACATTTAACTAAGAAAGTTGTGAGAAATTTTACACTGGGAACATTTTCAGGTTCTTCATTCTGTGAAAACGAGGCAAGTAACATATTGTGTGCTTAATCAATTAATTGATTATGTCAAAAATCTTGAGAAGATTGGGTTGTTGGAAGAAAAAGAGACGATTCATCTTCATGATGCTGTCCAGGTTCAATGATAAATATTTTTTTGTCATTTTTCCTTCTTATGGTCTTCCTTTATATATAATATAATCTTTTTTTTCATTTATATTTAGAGTATTATTCCAATTTTTATGCAGAATGATTTGAAAAGGTTACTAAGGAACCCTCCTTTAGAGAAGATTCCAAGCAGTGTCCATCGTTTCCTGGTAGAGCTTCCTTCTTCTGTCAGTGAGCAACTTGCAGATTCTCCCAAAGAGATAATGAAACTACGTGGTGTGACGCTATTTAAGGAGGGTTCAAGGCCAGACGGTATTTGGCTCATTTTGAATGGAGTGGTGAAGGTAGTTAAACAATTTGCCTGGGTCAATCCGAATCTGAGGGATATACTTTTATTTCATTTAAGATCTCTCACTACAAATTTTGAATTTCAATATGTCACAAATGTGAATTTCTGTTCGGCAGTGGACGAGTAAGAGCATAAAAAATAAGCACTCATTACATCCAACATTTACCCATGGAAGTACTCTTGGCCTGTATGAAGTGCTGATTGGCAAGCCATGCGTATGTGACATGATCACAGATTCTATGGTACTGTGTTACTTCATTGAAGCTGAAAAGATACGTACAGTGCTCAAATCTAATCCAGCAGCAGAGGATATCTTTTGGCAGGTATGATGATATTGGGAGTTTGTGACTCTAATCAGTGTAGAACATTTACGGCCTCATTCATTGGCATCTACGTTATATGGACTTTTCTAAATTTGTGAAGTACCCATGTCAGGCACTAACCATTTAGGAAATGCATGGGATATGTGTCTGGTAAATTTAGTTGGACATGCATCTAACAAGTATGTCTTAAGTAGTCAAGTTTACTAGTATATAAATATGCATGAGACCCCCATTGTATGCAATAAAAAGCTCTGTGTTAGTTGTTCAACATCATTTTATCCTAAAAAAAAGAAGTATTTAAACATATAAAATCTAGTTGCATAGTGATGTCCTTAAGACATACGAATTTGATGACCTTAATACTGTTTAGTCACCAATTATTCCAAAAGCTTAAACTACCCAACAATGTATATCAAGCTATCCAAAACCCTCCCTTACGTTCAACCCCGTCTTGCAGATGGAAATGCAAACAAAAAGAGAACTAGACAACCAAACAGCAAAGAAGAAACCAAATGCGGACCAAATACCGAATGCCAACAGAGAGGTTTTAACCCAAGGCCTCTCTCAACCTGAGTTCTGTACTATGTTAAGTCACCATTTGTCCCAAAAGCTTAAGCCGTTAGGAAATGAGCAACAAATACCTACATGCCTGCAGCTGACACCAATTCCCAAGTCCATAGTAACATAGATTTGTATGTAACTCCCAAACTTGGTATAGAACATTGATTTCTAGTTCTTTCATAATATACTTTCCATTAGATCTAGAATTGGACATGCACTATCAAGTTATGCAACCAGGTCAAGGATATGCCGCTCATCTATTGATGTGTTTTCTCTGTTGACTATGGAAATGAGGGTAAAATGGTATTACAATTTAATAAAATTTTTGATTAACTCTAGAGTGGTTATGGTGTCCCATATCCCTTAAAAATGTGTTTCACAGAATGGGTCATACAAGTTATCTATTATTTTTATTTTTGTTCTACTTTTTTTATTTAGATGGGTATATTTTCTTTTTCGTCTTTTGGCAGGAAAGTGCAACTATTCTTGCCAAACTCCTACTTCCTCAAATTTTTGAGAAAATGGCCATGCAAGACTTGAGAACCCTTGTTGCAGAAAGGTCAATAATGAGTATACGCTTACGGGGAGAAACTATAGAAATACCTCAACATTCCATTGGCCTTCTATTAGAAGGATTCGTAAAAACACAAGTTATCCAAGAAGAATTGATTACGTCTCCTGCAGCACTACTGCCTTCATATGGGGACCTAAACTTCCTAGGATCAGAAACATCAGGTGATTGAAATTTATTTAGCATCCTATAATATGCATGTTTGCCAGTACTCCACCTTCTGTTTACATACTATTTTCTGTTATGTATAATTCTGATGTTTTGTTTTGATATAAACTCGCTGTTTATAACTATTAGTGACCTTATCTTTGTGTTTTGGGTTTCCATTTTCACTTGGCATGGGGAAATGTGCCCTACAATGTATATCAAGCTCTCGAAAACCCTCCCTCACACAAAACACATTGAGATGTAGACATCCTTACATACAAATGAGAGAGAACGCAAACAGGAACCAATTGCAATTGGAGAGAATTGAACCCAAGATGTCCCCCAACCTGGACTTTGATACCATGTTAGATCGCCACTAGTCACAATAATATATATCAAGCTGTCCAACAATATAAATGTGACAGCCTAAATAAATCCACATTACGAGATCTATGAATCTTCAAAACAACTAGTGAACGTTCAAGAAACATGTTTGAGAATTGAGCTCTTGGAATGAGAACAATTCATAGATGAAAGATGAAATGTGTCTATTTGAAGATACAGGTTTCATGCAATGGAGGAATTAGAGGGGCCTGGTAGGGTCAATGGCACACCTAAGTACAAATTTCTCCCTTCTATATTAAGACATAATTTCAATAAATCTGTTTCCAAATAAAGCAATGGCCCACCTAACTGTTATTCTGCCCTTCTACCTCCACAAGATTCACCTAGGTCTTTTACTCACTTACTGACAGCTAATTATCCCTAATGTGGGATTAATTTTCTCTTTAATTAAATTGGTGTTAGAACTTTATGTAGCATTCAACCCATGCTATGCTTGGCTAAATGCATGTATGTTATCAACACATTTGTTTTATTTTCATAAAATACAGCCAAAAAAATAAAAATAAAAAATCACTGCGTAGCACATTAAGACTGTAGAGGGTCCGAAATTAAGGTCAAAATTAAGTATGGACCTAGGTGCTGAGGTTGCCCCTGTTAGGCGAGCAAGAATGATTAAAGAAGCATGGGTTAAAGCCCAAGGAAAGTGGGTCAACAGTGGGCGAGAACAAGTCCAACCCGCCAAAGGCCCGAACAAGTTGCATGAAAAAAAATTGTTAAGTTGCAAAGGCAACACTTACAGTGGTCAAGTTGTTAAGGCACTTTGTCTCAGCGCCGCCATTCTTAGTATTGTTAATGCCGCCATCCCAACTATTGTTGGCGCCGCCATTTGAACTTGCTAAGGGAAATAAAAACCGTAGCAACTAACTTGCTGAGGTAGCACTTGCAACAGCCAAATTGCTGAGGTGCTTTGTTGGCGTTACCATCTCTAGTATTGTCGGCGCAGCCAGTCGAACTTGCCGTGGGAAACAGTTGCCGCAGCAAGTACAACTGCCGCAGCTAACTTGCAGAGGAAAGACTTCACCAAGGTGATAGCAGCCTTTGAGTGAGGCTTCCCCTCCACAAGTAAAGGTTAATATCTGGCGTTGATAGCAGACCCCTAGGCATTACCTGCCTAGGGCTAATAGCAGGCCCCCAAAGTCATTATTAACTCGGCGCTAATAACAGGCCCCAAAGCTTACTAGTTAGAGCTAATAATAGGCCTAGAGATATCAATATACCGTGGCGATCCCGTGAAGATGGGAGCCGGGCAACCTAAGCGCAAGGGACTCCCTTTCCATTTACCCAGGTCATGGAGCTGTTTTGGTTGCACAGGCAGAACCAAGGAAGCCCCCGTGGGCTTGGTACTAAGGCACAACATGGCTAACAGTAGGCTTGGTTGTGGCCTTCACCCTGGGAAGCTGGGGAATTTGTGGTTAGATGCCTAAGGGTGGAGGCTTCGCTGAGACGAACACGAAACATGCCTGATAGCAAGCTATGAAGTCCTCAGAATGCATGTCTTGGCTAAACTGAACTGAAAAGGCAAGTGCGGTGGTAAATATGGCTGATAACAGGCTATGAAGTCCTGAGAATACATGTCTTGGCTAAACCGAATTGAGAAAGCAAGTGCAGCGGCAAACATTACCGTCGCAAGTGCACTTGTTGAGGTTTGAACTGAAAAGGCAAGTGCAGCGGTAGACACTATCTCCGCAAGTGCACTTGCTGAAGTTCAAAAAGGTAGTTACGGATGTACTTCTACCAAATAGATAGTACATAGTATATGCAGAGAGACATGTGACACCTTCAGCCTGGTGGTCTAAGACAGATTATTCCATGTGATTCTCAAGGATACATGTCCTCACCCTATTTGGCCACTTGGTATCCTTTGGTACTAAAAAAAAAATATATATATATATATAAGTAAGATGCATTTCCTAAGGTCAAAAAAGAGGATTTTCTGGAGATTTGGGGAGGTGCTGCCCATTTGTGCACTGCCATTCCTTTCTTTTTGAACCACTTGCTCCCCCCTCACCCAGATACTCATCCTCCAGCCAGCCTGGATCCGTTGGACCATTGACATAGTTTTGCCTCTCTAATCACTGTGTTAATCACTGTTCACTTCGAACCCCTTGCAAAGACAATAAAAAATATGTGAAACGTTGACATGTTATGTAGGATGACCCTATATCTTGCCATAATAATTTATGAGGACCTGTGAAGGTGAATTCTTTTTGTTTGTCTGGAAAGTAAGTTATGTAAAACTGGATCTTTCCAAATGAAGCAGGCGTTCTTCCATTTAGAAGAAAATTATAGTCTTATGCAAGTTGTAATTTCAAAAACTGATTAGTAGCGTAAGCTAAATGCAAGGCATGTCATCAATTGTGGGTGTATATGTGTCAACATACCAATTTATGCGATGATTAAACAAAGATGACCCTCACCTATAGGTTGAAACCAGTTTTTGTGATTTCTTTTCTATTTTGTTTTGTTGTCATGTAATAATACCCTGCATAACTTCCAATATCATTTTAGAAAATTATTTATTTTATTTTATCTTGATTGCCTTTCTTATTCTTGTTTTTTGTACCTGTGCCAAAAATGGTCCCTCTTTTCCGTTCACAGTTGATTCCAAATCAATGAAGCAATTGAACCGAAACAAATGAAAGCCACATCATGTTTTTGAACTTTATGAAATTGGTCCTCTGTTTAATCCTTCCATTTTTTAATCGGTGACAGCTACTAGGCAAGCCAGTTTTTCTCATCAAGCATCCTGGTATCACTTTGAATCGAGTGCAAGAATAATAATATTTGACATCGCTGCATTTGAAGCCCATAGGACTCTCCAGAGAAGGTCATCTTCAGTGGTGTCACGTTCAGTTGATCACCCTTCTAGATCCCTAAGTCGAGAACATTGTGGTCTTATGAGTTGGCCTGAGCATTTCTTCAATCCAAGGCAACAAGCAAACATGTCTGCTAGGGCATTGCAGCTGAACAAATTTGAAAGAATGGTATGTTCAAGTTATCTTTTCTTTAAGTCTGTGTTTGGAAGTAACTTATTGGATAAAAAACTCAACAAAAAATTATTAGACATGATTCAAGAACAATTCATTTTTTCCTCTTTTTTTGTTTTGTTTTGTTTTGTTTTTTTTTTTTTTTTTTCCAGAACAATTCGTTTTTTCTTTTTTTTTTTTGTTTCCTCATCAATTTTAGGAAGCATGCTTTCAATTTTTTTTTTTCTTAGAAGCGGACATGTTTATGGGTTTTGAGTTGTTTTATTGCTAGTGTCCCCGCTTAATTAAGGACAGAAAACCGGGAAAATTACACTTGTTACCCCCAAGCGTTCATCTAAATTTCAATTTGATCCCCATCTTTTGATTACAATGAAAAAAGGTTCAAGTCTAATGACCTAATTGTTGCAATAAAAAGATGAGGGACCAAAGTAAAAATTGGGTGAAAGTTCGAGGGTAAAAAGTGTAATTTACCCAAGAAAATACCATGCCGAAAAAAAAAAACAAAAAACTTTAGCAGTTGAAGTTATGTTCTTCAGTTTTCGTATTTATTTTGTTTATCTTGAAAAGAGATTTCAAAAAAACAAAAAACACCTAACTGCAATCAACTTGTGACCATCTAAATTTATAATGCCTTGAAGTTACCTTTTTACACTTCCATATTTTCTGAGTCGTAGCTTTTTCATTTGACCTTACTCCTTGCCTACATTTTTTCATATTTTGAATTTTAGTCTGCATTATTTTCTTTAATAGGTCAATAAAGCCCAATCACCTGTGAGAATTTTGCCTGTTAGTCAAGCGAAATCATCCCATAGCCTTTCATATCCAGCAGTTCCATCAAGTCTTGGGAAAGTGCTTGTTTCTGTGAGATCAGAAGGGTCCACTACTGTGAGAAATCACAACCGTGAATTCAAAAAGGTCACAGAACAAAATCCGGAAACTCCACTTCGAAGTTCAAACACACAAAGGAGTCCGGTAATAGATGATGACTCTAGCGATGAGTCTGGTGCAGAAGACGAATTGATCGTGAGAATTGATTCACCAAGTAGGCTTTCCTTTCGCCAGCCTTCTTGATTGTTCTTTTTATCTGGATTATCACAATTGTAAATTAATTTTTAGATTTTCATTTGAAAATATGAAGTACTTTTAAATGGCTGTGTAATATATAGAAGAAATTTCGACTAAATAAGAATGTACCTGATGAACTACAAGGAAGATTGGCCTAGTAATGGAGAGAGGGTTACATGCCGGATACATTTTAAAATTAGTCAATTTTTTGTATTTCAATACCAAATTGTATCATCAAACCAGACGTAACCTTTTGTGCCTTACTCAAATGGGATTGTCAGTGTGCTCTTTTAAAGTCTATGAGTGATGCTACATCCCCAATTTTGGAGTCTCCGGATTTTATAAAATTATACTAAAATAAAAAAGTAATTATACTAAAGTTTTGGAGTCTCTTTGTAGTTTATGAAAATTTGTTGATTATGTGGCTTGGTGATGTGGACTATCTTTTGTGGTATAGCTTGTCCATATCATTTGAGCTTGGTTGAATTGTGTGGGTGAAAAAGGTCATACACTTTGTTTAAATTAAATAAATTTATATATTTATTTATTATCGCATCTGATGTGAGTTGAGTTTTTTTTCCTTGCCTTACTATTCTGATATACTAGTCTGATGTCACTTGGAATGGACTGATTGCTTACTTTTCAACTATACATTTTCTGAATGTATTGTATTTTAGTTGCCTAACATTTTATTTCATAAAATATCACTTCCCTTATAACTATTTTGTAAATTTTTTCAAAATTGAACTTTTACACAGTATTCGATTATTTTTATTTGAATAAAACAATTTTGTTCAAATTATTAATGTTGACCAAATTATAAATGTTCATACATAAAAAAATTAAACATTTTAATTCCTTAATAATTTCATTTCTCAAAATTTTCAATTTAATAATTTAATTTGTTTTTAGTATATTTTCTTTTCTTTTTTTACAAAAAGTAGATGTACTCAACATTTATAAAAATAAATAAATAAACAAATATATAATATATATTCAACATAATAAGTTTGAACGAGTTGAAATTATTCAACATATAAACTATAAATGTATTTATTTTGTTCAACATAAATATTTTGAACATATACAATTTGTTCAATTTTATTTTTTTGTATGATGATATTATATTCAGACAATCAAAGTTGAGTTAAACTCAAAATAGAAATTGCTATGGAAGTTGAATCAGTAACCAAATCAAAAGAAGATAGAAACAACATATGAATGTGAAAATAAAATGTGTGAATCAAGGGTGAGAATGAGAAATTTTCAACACTGACAATGCATCGACGAAACAACGGCGAGACGATGGCAAAAATGGAGATCTGAAACGACGATAATACACTGGCAAGCCAACGGCAAAACGACGATGACGACGATGGAGATCTGAAACAATGAGAATGCATCGGCCAGACGAAACTCTTTGCCGACATTGGAGGTCTTCAACGCTGACGATGGAGATCAATGGTGTTTTGAAGATAGAAATATTTGGGTGTGGGTTGTGGTTTGTATTCAAGTACACCAGTGGTATGTTACCTTATGACTAGTAATGTAAAGTTAAGGTATGAACTAAAATATTTTCAAATTCTAAAAATTATTATGTGTGTGTACTAAATAATGGTGTGTACTGAGAGGATTAGTGGTGTATAAATAGAATTACCCTAACAAAAATTAGTGTGGGTTATGTGGCGATTTTATGGAGAAATTATACTTTGCCCCTTTTATTTTTGATCACTTTCTCACTTTGACTCTTAAAGTTTGCTTCTCTCTCTCTCTCTTTTTTTTTTTTTTTCACATTGACCCTTCTTGTTTTAAATTTTTTCTAATTTACTTCCAAAAGTTACATATGTTAAAAGTTAGACAAAATATGATACATTGACAATCACGTGGCATAAAAATATTTTATTATATATAGCTCACATTTCTGACATAAATTCAAATCTCAATATCATAATATAATTGTTATATTATGGGACAATTATCGTGATACTTTCTGTCTAATTTTGAATACAAATTAAATTTAGAAGTAAATTAAGAAAAGCTTAAAATATGAAGGGTTAAAGTAAGAAAAAATAAATTTTAGAAACCAAATTGAGAAAGTGATCAAACATTAAAAAAGACAGTTTGATTTACCTTTCTTTTTTTTCAAATGAGTAATATGCACATAAACCAAACCACAACTGATAAAGTAATTTATCCTTTTTTCTCTCTGTTTTTCATTTTTTTTTTTTTGAGCCAACAATATATATATATATATATATATTTTAATGATCTGGAAATTGAATTCTTATCAAATAAATATACAAACAGTTAACACGAAATCTTGTGAGGTCGACCAGTACACAACTTATACCAAAAAAATAAAATAAAATATCATAAATTGAGAAATAATTTCTTGTAATTATAAATTGATCCTTTTCTTCTGAACCACAATCCACTATTTCTTGTTACATTTATATATTCTTTTATGATACATTTTATCTCTCCCCTCAAAATCCGAAATACATATATAAATTATACCCACATTACATTCTAATTGCCACTACCTAAACCTTAACGTTACTTTGGCTTTTATACTAATCTCTCTCAATCAAGCCACATTGCATTCTCATTTTCACTGCCTAAAACATTACCTTGGCTTTTATACTCCTCTCTCTCTCTCTCTCTCTCTCAAACCTCATAGAGCATTCCAACCTCAACACGCTGCAATAGCGGCACCCCCATAGCAGGCAATGCTGACCTACAATTCCTATGCAGAACTTCATAGAATGCAAGCATATACCCATCAAACCAACCACAATTTTTACTTACATAAAACCTTGTCTTTCCCTGAACATGAACCGCGCCAGAGAGCTTTGCCTCTTCCATATCAGACATCTCTTCCTCAAGCTCAGAAGTAACTGATGTTGCATAGTCAGAGCCGTTTTGTATATGTGCCCGCAATCTATCAATAACGTGACTCACAAAATCGTCTCCTTCAAGATCAAGAGAATTAGCATAACCATATTGAACCACACATCTGTATACCCCTTTAAGGCCTAGTTTGCTGACAACAATTCTTTTGTGTGGCGCAACTCTGGGAACCAACAAGCATCGAAAGGTTGTGAAAATAGTAACCTTGTGAAGAGATTTCATGTTCTTTATGTAATGCCCGAGAATTGGGGTCACACCGTCTTGAATGCTGGTGTAGAACAAGCAAACTCCGGGAACTCTTTGGACTATGGGATCAGATAATAGCATTCTTAGTTGGTCTCTGTCTATCTTGTGGGATAGCTCATACTGGATCTTTCTGTGCCTTCCATGGAACCAACCGAACATGATGAAAGCAAGGATGAAAGAAATGGCAAATGGAATCCATCCACCTTGTAGGATTTTTGTGGAAACTGCACTCACGTAAACGCCTTCCATCACAAAATATACGACAAAGTAAAGAGCAACCAACGCCGGTGGAGTTCGCCAAATCATGATCATGACTAATGTCAATAGTATTGTGGTGATGAGCATAACAAGGCTAACAACAACACCTGTAAACAATGTCTTGACGATCAATAGATGCATTAAAATTGCAGAATAAGAAAGTCAAATAACATAAACAGGAAAAAAGAAGCTACATAACAGAATAGAACGAACAACAGTAAACACGTTTGATTGTGTTTTTTTTAAAAAATTTATACATATATATATATATATATATTTTTTGAAAAACGCATTTGGCGAACTATTTTTGAAAAACATTATGATAAACTAGAAAGTAAATTTTCAGATGTTCGATTAAAAAAGAAATAAAGATTCAAGGTTAATTAGTTTATCATACCAAAAGCATTTCCGATATCCTTTCCATCACCAAAAATGAGAATGACAGCAACACAAAGTATCATGAGGATGTAATTGATTTCCGGACAGTAAACCTCGCCTTCTTTCTTGGAGGATGTGTGCACCACCTTGACTCGAGGGAAATAATCCAGTGTGACTGATTGCTTGATAATGGAAAAGGTGGCTGATATCAGTGACTGACTCGCAACAATTGCTGCCAACGTGGCTATGATGAACATAGGCCAGTAAATTGTTTTTGGTATAAACTTGTAGAACCCGTCATCGTGATCATTTGGGTTTTTGATCAGGTATGCTGTTTGTCCCGCATATGTCAGAACCAACGATGGGTATATAGTAAATAGAAAGGCTAGCTGCTAGGAGAGAATGTGTTAGAAAACCGCTGCATAATATCAGAGAAATGGAAATTCACGAGAGAGTGAGCTAAATACGACACCTGAATGGATTTGCGATTGAAATGACCAAGATCAGCAAACAATGCTTCCGAACCTGAAAAAAGTGAAATTTCACATTAATGAATCAAACGTGTCTAGAACACTGTACTTGCCTAACCAATAAATTCTTCCACCATGATCAACTAAGCAATTGAACCTAAAAACAAATTAAAAAAAATAAAAATAAAAAATAAATAAATAAATAAATAAATTTCTGAACAATGGGCAACGACAACCAAAAAATCAAGAAAATGATATTCAAACGAAAAAAATTTAAGTACTACAATAAATTGGTTCAGCTTGAATTTTCGAATCAAAATTCCCAGATAAATCAGATTCGGATGATCTCTGATTAGATTTGTCATAACCAGCACGGGTTCAGGTTCAGATTTTTATAATTGGGACGGATTCGAAATACGCCAAATCCAATCTGAATCCAATTCGTTAACCAACCTAGTAAAGACCTTCATAAGTACATATACAAGCCAAAACACAGAAAACTTTAAGCACCAATTCTTTCTTGTTACTTGTAAAATCATTATATCTAAACCACTAAGGAAAAATTGATCATCTTCCTCAATCTTTCTGCAATAAAGTACCTAAATCATGGCTTTCGAACATTATTTTCAACTTTTAACACTAGCATTTAGCACTGCTATTCTAGTTATAGGCTAGAGGAACATGCTTTCCAGAGAAGTTTGTGGAAAGAACAGTAGTGTCATTTGTTAATAACCACAATGTAATAGACCAGAAATACGAGGCTCACCGGTGATGCAAAGGACGGTACCACCAAGCAATAGCCAGCCTTCCTTTCCATTTCTCAAAAAAAAACTGACGATGTAGTGTGGTGATATTGCCTTGAATATGCTCGGATAATGACGAATAATGCTATAAATTCCTATAAGAGGAGTCGTGACGGTCCAAGCACCCATAATGGGAGAGAAAATGAAACTCACTCGTGAGGTACCGTACTTCTGCACCAGGAACAGAACAATAAGAACTACTGCAGACAGGACTTCAACTAAGGCTGCAAATTCAAAACCAAGAAATCTGTGAACACAAACAAACTGAACTCCATAGAAATGAAAAACGTTTCAGTTGCAACTATGATCTCTTCCATCTCTCATGCTTTTTAGCTATTATATCTGTTGTCAAGTGCTTATATCAAGTATTTCAAAGGAGAAAACTTAAGTTCACAGAGAGATACTTTCAGTCCTTTACCAACACATGTTTCAATAGTCGACATCGGATTTACTTATCTGTTTGTTTTGATACTAGAAAAATGGGTTTTAATGTTGATTTTACAAATTTACCATTTAGTTAGGGACCATATCATATGCTTAACTGCAAAAAGTAGACAGAATGTAACAAAAGGATTAAATTAAATCAATTTGGAAAGTTAGAGGGCCTATTTGAATGAAAAAATAGATTAGAGGCTTAATTGAAAAAATACACAAAGATAAAGGGCTTTTGATTTCAAGAAAATGACACCTTGAAAAGATGTCATAGTCATTGAACTTTAACGACAATCAAATATTAGGAACTAGCTAAAGTTACAGAACTCCATGTCAATACTTACATTTGCTGACAGAAGGAAAAGGTGCTCTTATGCCGTCCATTGCTGATAACACTGGAACAATTTTGATAAAAGATAGAAGATTGTTATGAACAATTAAACACAAAAAAAAAAAGAAAAAAAAAAAGAAGAAGAAGAAGAAGAAGAAGAAGAAGAAAGTTAAGGATAGTTAAATGGTAACAAACCTGAGATTGCAGGTGTAAGTATCCCATCACTGATTAGCATGCACATACCTAGCATTGCAATGAAAAGCAATACTCTTCTCGCGACCACACTTTTTTCGAAAAAAATACCCAGCCTACTTCGCTTTTCAGAGCTTGAGTTCAAAGCTACACATTTGGAAGAAAGAATTCCAATATCCAAATTCCTACAAAGTAATGAATACAAAGCAAATGTTCCACCTGCAATAAATCATTATCCAGAATTTGAGAATTCAGGCAAACGGATGCATATGGATGCAAGTGACATGTGGAAAAATTGTTCTTACAAATCAGGAAGAGAATTTAATATATCGAGCAAACAAGAATTTTAAATTTAGTCATAATAATAGAATTAAATGTATTGCGGAAACAAGCTTTTTGTTTTGATAAGTATATCGACCATATAGGACTTTTAGTATCATCTCAAAGCCATTGTCGAAGAACAACTTGGTAATAAAACAAGCAAGATTGATTGATCATATTCTTTCCTCTGAATAGAACTTTTGAGTCCACAAGCTTCCACATATCAAATTCACTTCATAAGGACAAGTGTAATCTAAATCTGAGTTTATAACATTGAACGTGGGTAACAAATTTCCTAATAAGAGAATACAGGCGGTTCAAGAATGAAATATAAGGACAATGTTGTCAAAAGCACCACGCAATTACTATGCAGAGAGGGTCCCCACCCTCCTTCGCACATATGAAAGCCTTCACAACCAATAAGAATACTTCATCAACCAAAGCGATGCACTGAAGGAACAAAAAAATTGTTGCATGAATAATAAATTTCGAAACCTCGTAAAAAATTATTGTCTTATAGCTGTGATCAAAATTAAAGCAGAATAAAAACACTCAGATAGGAAGTTCTTTACCTCTGATCTTGCAGTGGCATTGGCAACATGGAAATTATTTTCATTCTTTTCTAAGAGTAGTTTTTTAAACCACGTTTTTTCGTACAATAAGGTAATAGATATAGTATTTAAAATTTATACGTCACATATAGAAGGATGAAAGTCCATCATATCGCTCTTCGAACGTGATTTGAAGTATCAATCTTGGTAATGGTATCATGGTCCCTAACAAAATTATTTCCAATAAGGCTCATTTTGCTCAATTCACTATGCAAAAATCATGGCAAAAATTAGGTTTCGCTCATTTTGCTCAATTCACTATGCAAAAATCATGGCAAAAATTAGGTTTCAGTCTTTGATCCCACAAGAAACAGAAATTTATTGATAGTGATGCAAAAAACAAAAGACAAAAAAACAAAGAAACAAAAACAAAAACTCTTATCATTCTATCATATACCAAACGGTTTGTGGAAAAGCCAAAAAAATATATCTCCAAATAATCTTGCCCCTTAAATCTCTCGAGCCAAAAAAAAAAAAACATTGATGGGATTTGCAAATAGGCCAATCTTTTCCGGCCAATGAAAACATCATTTCCTACAAATGATAAGCAGAAGCATGGTAAATAGGAAAAATGTAATCATACTTTTGGCATCACCCCAACAGTTACCACAAAGCCATTCAAAAGCATCTTTAAAGCATATTACCCATGTCTTCCTAATTGCGGGTCATGCCTCAAACATAATTCTAGGTCAGTTTTGTCTAGTAGAAATGGACAAGATTTGTTAGCACACAGAAGTTGAAGGAGAAAGTATTTCGAAGAAAAGAATCATTTGGATCAAGTGGCCAAATAATAAGCAATAATAATAATAATAATTCTCATCATCACAACAAAGAAATGAAAAAAAAGGTGTAGTTAAAAGGAACTACATCAAAATTATCCTCCTACAATTTAATTTTGGAATTGTTTCCAACATAATACTTAAAACAAGGCAGACAAATAATAAAAAATGAAAAAAAGAAAATTATAAATGAAAGAGACTACTGACTAGTTGAAAGTAAAGGATAAACTATATCGACAAAGAAAGAAATGAATCAAATTCACGACAAAGTGCAAGATAAATGGTTAATGTCACATAAAAGCAAAACATATAGAAGGCCAAATTTTGGAAGCAAAAAGGGAATCCTTGCCACAACGTTAGATATTAGCATAAACTACAATGAATCATTTAAATTATTTTATACCTTCACCCTGATCATCGGCCCTGAGAGCTATGCAAGCATACTTGACAACCCCAATTAGACTGAGGGTCCAAAACATGATGCTGTAGATACCCAAGTAATCATCTTCAGTTGGAGATTTCAGTCGCATTGAAGGATAAACATACAGTGGGGAAGTCACAAGCCCTCCAAAAACAACTCCTAATGTCTTGTAAGCAAGTTTCAGAGTTCCCTGATCCAACATAACAGATTTTACTCACAACTTCAAATTATAAAAATTTCAAAAATTAAAACTAAAACTTTATATTAAGAAGAAAAACAAAAAAAGATAAGAGACAAAATTGAAGTTAGAGTAGTAAATAATTTCAAATATTTCTAAATGAACTATTAAACATAAATGTAACGATTTCGAATTAACAAATTTGGGAAGCCCCAACTGGATCATGTATAAAAATAAAATAAAAAAACAAAAATGAAAATTATAGTGAGACATAGGACTTGACAATGGTCTAACATTCTATTTGTTTTTTGATTTGTTGTGGGAAAAGACAAAGAATGCAAACTAAATAATTGTTCTTTGTTTGATTATCAGAGAAAACAACAAATATCTATGACACAAGTTTTTAAAATAATAATAATAATAATAAATTGTAAATTTTATTTGATAAAAAAATTCTAAGTTTGGAAAAAAAAAAATAGAATTTAGGGTATAACTGGCCATATAACTACCATCAGTGTATTTTGAGAAAACCCCAAAAACTAGAACATCAACACCTTTATAATAGTATGGAGAGATAGATAGATAGATGTATTATATTACTATAAAGCACTCAATAATTCAAAAATTTTGTGATGCTTTTTGTTTTAGTCAAAATACCTTTACAATTGGTAATAACTGATAAAACTCCACATCCATCCAGTAATTATTAAACACTTTTGTAATTCAATCCTGGTTTGTTACTTTGTCAAAAAAATAATGTAAAATTACCACACACAAAAAAAAAAAGTTTGTGACATTTTTTTGTTACGCTAATAATTTAATAATTTATTTTTAAAATCATATTTACCGTTACCTTTTATGATCTGATTAAATGACTATTGATATCCCGTCCATGGTTTTGAAAACCAGACCGGATCGGCAGGTTCGACCGGTTGAACCATTGGGGTTGCCGTTCGGATATACCCAATAAACCGTTCCAACCTAAAAACTAGCCTATTTAGAGAAAACCGGAAAATCGGTGGTTGGACCGCTAACCGGGTGACCTAGAACGGGTCAAGCGAAACGGTAGGGTTAAAAAAAATTAAAAATTTAGGACTCTGTTTGGTTGTGCTCTGTAATCAATTTTCTACCCGTGTGTTGGAGCATGATGTTTGGTTTCGTTTTCAAATCAATTTTCTACACTTTTTTATATATTATATATTATATATAAGAAAATTTTAATTGGAAACTCTCTTTCAAAGGTCTCCTCTTGTGAGGAATTCCATTGAGAGTTTGAAATGATTGTGAAAGTCTCTACTTATTTATAAATAAGAAAAAAATTCTTCCAAAAAAATTCAAAAAATTTATGTGGGATTCAACCAAATTTTTTGGGAAGAGATTTGAAATTTTGATATCTCTCCAAAACTTTTACTCTTCTTTCAATCAAATTATTTGAATTAAAATAATATGGATGAAATATTAAATATTTAATTTCCTCTTCCGAAGGTAAAATTAATAATATTTTAAAATATATTATTACATTTTTTAGTAAAAAAAATATATTAGAACAAATATTTAAGATAATTTAATATTTTTAATTTTTTAATTTATAATTTTATTACTTATATTTTTATTTAAATATAATTTAATATATTTATGGCGTGACAGTTCGATTCTGGTTTAATCTAACAGCTGAACCGATAACCCATCCATCAATCACTTTTTTAATTCGCTTATCGGTCGGATTTTTAAAACATTAATCCCAAATTTTTTTACATCGATGAAATAATGGACGAGTTAGATTTTGCGTGACGGGTCCAGTCCAATATAAATTGGAGAGAAGTACAAAATTTCGATACGTACATATGAATATATACGTATGGATACATAGATGTATAGTGTGTGCGGTGTATGGTGTGGTGTGGTGTTTGTGAGGGTAATAAATACGTACCTTGCCTTCTGAAGGTGTGTGTGTGGTGTATGTGTGTGTAAGGGTAATAAATACGTATCTTGTCTCCTGAAGGTGTGTGTGTAAGGGTAATAAATACGTACCTTGTCCCCTGAAGGTGGGATTGGAGGAGGAGGAGGAGGAGGAGGAGCGGCGGAATCAAACACCACCAAAGCGACGTCGTCCGACCGAGTGGCGACCGAGTCAGGGATTCCGGGTTGCCGATCCATCTCACATTCCACAACTACCACTTCTCTCTCCATTGCTCTCTCTCTCTCACAGAGAGAAAATGGAACAGAAGAGCTTCTTCGAGTGGTCAGGTGGGATTGTGGAATTCAAGGAATTGAAGATTTGTTTTTATAGAACAAGACCAGGAAAAGCCAATAATGTTATATACACATAAATTAAATATAAAACAGAACTCGCATGTCTATCTATTTATTGTTAGATAATGTCTCAATGGGGCCACATAATTAAATGTGGTGTTATCATTTATAAGAAACTTATAATTTAAGTGATTCAATTTAGTTAATAGGCTTAAGGGTATATGTGTTATGGACCTAATGTGTAGATACTAATTGTATAATTTCTATTTCTATCAGGGGCAGAAATAGAAATTAAAACATATTGGTTAAAGTTGGTTTTCATTCCTTTTGAACTTCTACAACCTTTCAGTTTTGAAAACCAATATGTAAGGTTTATGTTCTGAAATTTATGTTGATCCAAAGTGTAAGGTTTATATTCTGAAATTTATGTTGATCCAAAGTGTAAGGTTTATGTTCTGAAATTTATGTTGATCCAAAGTGTAAGGTTTATATTCTGAAATTTATGTTGATCCAAAGTGTAAGGTTTATGTTCTGAAATTTATGTTGATCCAAAGTGTAAGGTTTATATTCTGAAATTTATGTTGATCCAAAGTGTAAGGTTTATGTTCTGAAATTTATGTTGATCCAAAGTGTAAGGTTTATATTCTGACATGGTAAATGATCCAAAGTGTAAGGTTTATGTTCTGAAATTTATGTTAACAATTGGTATCAGAGCCAGCATATCATGTGTCTTATCAGATTTGATATGCTTTATTCATTCTATTTAGTTTCCTGGAATCAGATTCTGAATTTTCTTATGGATGTAAATTCTGTTTTTCCCTGTTTTGTTCTGTGAAAATGGCAATCGGAATTGTAAAATGATTCGGTGGGCAGTTTTTTTTTTTCTCTCAAATGGATGAACATCATGTATTTATATATATATAGATATATCTTGCCATCATATATTTATATATATATATAGATATATCTTGCGATTTGATCGGTTTAATTTTGAACATCATTAAAAAAAAAACTATTTGTTTTTTGGACCCGTCAATTCTATTTATATATGTATATATATAATTAGAATTGCTACAGATTATATAATATATACGGGGTCAAAAATTTAGAAATCTTTAAATTTAATGTAATTTCATACAACGTCTACAGAAATTTAATTTTCTAACATTCTCAATATGAGTCAATTCAAACAAGATGTCACAAAAGTGATCTCTCTTGTCTAGATTGTTTTATATGGAATGTTTTGAAGTTCATGTCTGTGTATCTCATGCGGGTATTTATCGGTCCAAAGACATGATTAAGACTTGGCAGAATTACACACACATTTTGTGGTGATAAACATGTGCCAATTGTCAAGAAAACCTAATGTGAATAATAAATCCATCAAAAGATAGATTTGTTATTTGACATAACTTATTACCAAACAGCATCGGATTAGCACGAAATTTCGCACACATGACCGCCTAGGAACAAGAGGATTGTGGGAGAAGACAGGACTCAAATTAGGTTCCTAGTTTGGGAGTTAGAGCTAAATTTTTGTCTAGGCAAACTAGTTCCGTAAGAAACATAGAATTTGAGGTTTTGACGCCACAAAATCACCAAATGGCGTCAGATTAGCAAGAAATTTGGCACACACAACCGCCTACGTACGAGAGACTTTTGGGAGAAGACGAGACTCGAATCAGGTTCCCGGTTTGATACTTAGAGCCGAATTGTTGTTTAAGCAAACTAGTTCATTAAGAAACTTAAAATTAGAGGTGTTGACGGCCCAAAATCATCAAACCACATTGGATTAGCACGGAACTTGGCACACACGATCGCCTAGGAATGAGAGACATGTAGGAGAAGACGGGACTCGAATTAGATTTTCGATTTGGGAGTTAGAGTCAGATTTTGGTCTAGGTGAACTAGTTCCTTAAGAAACTTAGAATTCGAGGTGTTGATGCCCTAAAATCACCAAACGACAGCGGATTAGCACGAAATTTGGCACACACGACCGCTTTGGCACGAGAGACTTGTGGGAGAAAACAAGACTCGAATCGGCTTCCCAGTTTGGGAGTTAGAGCTGGATTTTGATCTAGGCAAAATTATTTACTTAATTATCTTTGTAATTGTATGGTAGTTAAATTTTTGTGTTTTTGTAATTAACATATTAACACATAATTATATTGTCATTAATTATTTTTATTTTTTATTTTCAGATATTTCCCGAATAGGAGTTTGCTTCTTGTGGAATGCATGCCTGTGAAAAATGCGACTAACTTTTGTTTTTGTTACCTACAAAGAATTAGGAGGAAAACTTTTGTTTTTGATTTATGTTATTTTGATTTGTGAACAACATTATGTATGGTAATTTTGTTGATGTGTAATGTGTGTCAATTTTCGACCACACTGCCAAACAGGTACTCAGTTGGAGAGCACCGATAGAATAGATTAAGCCCGAACGACCTGTCACAGAAAAGATAAGATTCCGGCGGTGGTTCGTCCACCCGAGAGCACTTCGACGATCAAGTCTGTTATCTCTCAAAGATAGCAAAATTGCTTAACTCACTATTCAGAATATCAAAAGCGTACCTTAGACCCACGGGGGTGCATCTCTTTTATAGCCAACACTGACCTAATCCCAATAGAAGTCTAACTTCAATGGTTTTTGGATTACTGCTAATCTTGGACTCCCAGTAGGATTGGGATAAACTCTCTAAGAGTCATACCTTTATTCAAACTGAAGTCCTCGCTTATTCTAGGACTCTTGTCTCTTATCCGCTTATCCCAGATTCCGGTATCTTCGCAGATAACCTCGGCCTATCCGAGATCATCTCGGCATCATGACCAGGAAGCTATTCACAGGTTTTTCGCCTTCTCAATTTCAAGGACATGGTTAAAAAATACCCATGATTCTTATGTCGTTTTCATTTTTGTGTGACAATTTTTGGAAATTCATAAAACAATTTGAAAGTGGGCTCTAACAAAGTCAATATTAAGGTTTTATTGACATAATCACGCTTCCGTTTAACCGTTCATCAATGGATTCAAGTATGTCATTTTGTCTTGATTTCTTGATAATACACATGGTAAATGATCCAAAGTGTAAGGTTTATGTTCTGAAATTTTATATTAACATCTATTATATTATATAAAGAAAAAGAAATTTTTAACCCACCTCTAATATCTCTAACTAAATTTTATAATTCTTTGATTTTTAGAAGTTAAAAAAAAAATTATTGGCTCACTCTTATTCAAGTAAATAAATAAATAAATAAAAATTAATATTCCTTAATTTATTACTTTCAAATAGAAATTACATCAATTTTTTTTAAAAAAATGAAAAATATATTAATCCATTTCAAAATTTAAATTTGTAGGTGACTAAGGCCTCGTTTGGGAACATGCTAATTTAGTAACTTTTTGGCTATTTGGCTAAAAATGTAGGTAAAAAAAACTTGTATGCTTGGGATGACTTTTTGGCTAATTACGACTCTTATTCAAGTAAATAAATAAATAAATAAAAATTAATATTCCTTAATTTATTACTTTCAAATAGAAATTACATCAATTTTTTTTAAAAAAAATGAAAAATATATTAATCCATTTCAAAATTTAAATTTGTAGGTGACTAAATATGAAAAGTAATCGATTAATGATTTTTTTTTTAATCTTTTCCACTAATATGTAATTCCCCAATGTTATATGTCTTTTTGATTGTGTTCCCCAATGTTATATCTCTTTTTGATTGTGACATTGAATTAGTAACCAATAGATGTATCTCTTTTCTTCATATAAATTTTTTTTAGTTGTAAAAAAATAATGGAATTGAAAATTTTATGGAATTGTTAATCCCTCTAAAAATTAGAGTTAGCATTTTTATTTGAGTGAGATTTGAAAATGGGGTGATTGTTGTATATCAGCCATTGTTGTTCTTTTGATGAGACTCATTTCGGATTTTATTTTGATAATTTTAACCATTCATTTTTTTAGAGTCCGTTGAGTAATATATCCCTATAAAAAAATTAAATTAATCGAATATCGATAACCTTTTGATCAAATCATATTTGAAATTGCGAGGTTTACAAATATTAAAATTGCGAGGTTTACAAATGTTAAAATTGTTTTTGCTATTGAGAGGTTTACAAATATTTAAATTGTTTTTGCTACACTAAAGTAAGCCATCAATTTTTGGCGCCGTTGCCAGGGATCGAACCCGAGTCACCCGCGTGACAGATAGGCCTAAGGTGGTTGTGGGGAATGGGAGGTAATGGATGAAAGTGGTTGCCATCGATAAGAGACAGTTGGCAATGGCTAGAGGTGGTTATTAGCCGCAAGAAGTGTTGGTCAAAAGTGATTGTCAATAGTTGGAGATGATGGTTGATTTGCAGCCTAAAATGGTAGTTGAATGTAGTTTTTAATAAAAAAGTGATGGTCAAAGATGGTTACCGCCAGTAAGAGATGGTTGGTGGCAATGGAAGTTGGTTGGCGGTTGAGAGATGTGGTAGCCGAAGATGGTTGACATATGATGTCATTATTGGTGATGGTAGCCGATAGCTATGAGAATGTATGACAACGAGATAGGTTTGAAGCGAATTTACCGTCCTTCACCCACACCCTATATATGAAAAATTATTAAAAATGGTCCAAATATTCCTTTCAAAATTGTAGATACAAAGAAAGTCCCTAAACAGAAGATGAATGAAATAAAAATGACATTAAAAGTATTTAAGAAAATGCTAAAGTCAAACATATATATTATATTGTGCATTTGATCCCAATGAATTTAATAGAATTCTTGCATATGACATTGCAAAAGAAATTTGGGATAATTTAGAAGTCATGTAAGAAGGCACAAATCAAGTTACGGAGTCACGTATTAGTATGCTTGTCATAATTATGAATTGTTCAAAATGAAATCTAATGAATCTATTTATGAAATGTTTACAAGATTTACTGATATTGCAAATTCTTTGAAAAATCTTGATAAAGTATATACTAATAGTGAAATGGTAAGAAAATTCTCAGGTGCTTACCAAAGAAT